ATGTTGAATGGTAACCTCCAGGGAGACAATCTCTTTTTCAAAGTCTGCACTCAGCAAGACCCACTGACTCTAACAAGCACTAGCACAGTGAATGACCACTTATACGAGGCATGAAGAGCCTCAGCTGGAGAGAGAGAAGTAAGCCCAGTCCCCAGACTACCTCTGTCCTAGAACCTCATGCCTTGGAAGCAAGTGTGTGGAGTGTTCATCCTGTGACTAAGAAGTGCTTGAACTCCTACTATTCTCCACATGGTTTCCTCTTGGCTGGTACACAGAGAGTGTGTATGTGTTGGTGCAAGCTTGGAATCCAAGGAAGCTGGTGGACTGAACTGTGGTGGATGAAATGTTACCACTCTAGGCTGCATCTACTGTCACTGGCTGAAAACACCTTCTGCAGCAGCTCCACCAGACACACAGCTCAGCTGAATGCTCCTGAGTACACTCTAGTCCTTACTAACTCAAGACACCTACTGAAATTGCTTAAGCAAACACTGCTGATTATTCTTAACCAGAGCAGGGAGTGCTCTCACAAACCTTCTGCCAACAGAGGCAACAGCTCTCAGAAGGACAATTAATTACCAGCACTAAAAGGGCAGTGATGTCTTACTCTAGTCCAGCTTTTCTCTGGGCAAACATCCATCTCTTACTGCTTATGCAAGAAAATAATGCATTGTTCAACTGTTTTGTTTACTGTTCCTTAAAAAATCAGTAAGTTGGGAAAAGAAGAATAGACTCAATTAAAAAAATGGGTTACTTTAATCACAGCCTTATTTAAATGCCCATTCCTACAGAGATCTGAAAAGATGTCAAATATCTTCATGATATTCTTCAATGTATCTATGAAAAAGAAAAGCACATTGTGACCCTTTCAAAAAGATCTGTAGAGCAAGATGGGCTGGAAAATGATGTGATATAAAGATTATGCAATTTAGAACAGAAGCAACAAAAGACAGAGCTCTAGGCAAAAATCTGGATAGCATTTTCTTGCTCTGTTTCCTTGTTTCAAATTGAATTTAATTTTCTCATGACCAGTGGTCCAAAAATCATTACAAGTAACTGTTTATGCATTATGCACAGAAGGATGCACAAAAGGAAGTTAAAATGCTTTAGTCTGATCCTCCCGCGTGCTATTTTCAGGGACACCTCCTCATTCAGTGTTTCATGTTTAAAAGCAAGGCTCAATCAATCATTCAAGCCCTTGCACAGCAGTATTGAGCAGTGTACCTGTGATTACACCCCGTTTCCAGTACAGAATTCAGACTGAAAGAACAGCCTTTGAACAATAACTGACTAAACAAGGTTCCTTTATTGTGCTATCCTAAGACTGAACTGACTTGCATATCTGAAAAAGTTAATACTGTGGCTTCATGTTTGAGACTGAAAAAGGTAGTGTTCTGAGCCTCAGCTGCTTCATTTTGCATTTATCACCCAGGTAAGGATTGCATGTAGTGAAAAAAATTCTGAAAGGGCTTTTTGCTGACTATTTAATGTGCAAATTCTTCTAGCATATGGATGGCATCATACTTGACTGCATACTTCAGTGAGAAATACATCAGCTGAAACAGGACAGCAAGGCAGCTTGCTCTGGCAGAGTCTAGACCTTCCCAGCAGAGCCCATTCTGGAATTTTCTGGAAATTTTAATCTAGGACCAACAGCCCATAAATGCAGGAGGATTCCAGGCAGAGGTTTTCTTAGCAGCAGCGAGCTATCACACAACAGGCTGCTGGGAAGACTAGAGGAGTGAAGCTTCAGGCCACATAACACAACAAGGAGTAACAGTCTTGATGTGAATTCAAGACAGTGACTGCCCAAAGCTTCAGAAGACTGGAAAGTCTCTCAATAAAAGCAGAACACAGAAAACAACTTCACATGTAAAGACTTCAGGCAGACAGAGACAAAGAAGGAATGACAGAAATACTTCGAGTTGTGACCCTCCCCAAGCAAATACTGACTGAATTAATCTGTCCTATGTTTGCTACAGGTTGATTTGTTTTTTCAAAACATTTTCTTGAGATAAATTTGTACAATTCAGTACCAACAGATCATGAAATTCCTTTTAAACTTCATACAGAAATTATTCCAACTTCCACAGAAATGCAAAGGAAAACAAATTAGAACACTGATTCACACTACAGTAGAATCAGGGTTGGATAAGATCCTTAAGATCATTGCGTCCAACAGTTAACCCAGCATTGCCAACTTCACCACAAAACTGTGTCCCTACGTACCATATCTACATGTCTTTCAATGGTGACTACACCACTGCCCTGGGCAGCCTGTTCCAACACTTGACCCAGTGCTTGACAACTCTTTTCATGAAGAAATTTTTGCTAATAAACAATCTAAGTCTGGCAGAACTTGAGGCTGTTTCTTTTTGTCCTGGCACTTGTTACTTGGGAGAAGAGACCTGCCCCCACCTGGTGACAACCTCTTTTCAGGTAGTTATAGAGAGTGATAAAGTCACCTCTGAGACTCCTTTTCTCCACACTAAACTCAGGTCCCTCACTCACTCCTCACAGGACTTGTGCTCCAGACCCTTTGCCAACTTCATTGCCCTTCTCTGGACACACACCAGCACCTCAATGTCCTTCTCATAGTGAGAGACCCAAAACTGAACGTAAGATTCAAGCTCAGCACAGAGGGGCAATCACTGCCCTGGTCCTGCTGGACACACTGTTGTTGTGCAGGCCAGGATGCCCTTGGCCTTCTTGCCCACCTGGGCACACCTTGGCTCATGTTCAGTCACTGTTGACCAGCACCCCCAGGTCCTTTTGCCCCACTGTGCCCCAAG